AAGCCCAGCCCGGGCCGCGCTGCTCCCCCAGGCCCACCGCGCCTCCACCCGAGTTCAGGAGCCGCGTCCCCCGACGCCCCTGGACTGGCCCGGGCACGTCCGTGTGTCCGCGCCGCGTCTGTGTCCATGTGCCATGTGTGTCCGTGCTGTGTCCGCGCTGTCTGTGTGCTGTGTCCACGTGCTGCGTGTCCGTGCTGGGTCCACATGATGTGTGTGTCCGTGTGATGCGTGTCCGTGCTGCGTGTGTCCGTGTGATGCATGTCCGTGTGATGCGTGTCCATGCTGCATGTCCGTGCTGCGCGTGTCCATGCTGCGTGTCCGTGCTGCGCGTGTCCGTGTGATGCATGTCCGTGCTGCGTGTGTCCGTGTGATGCATGTCCGTGCTGTGTGTCCATGCTGTGTCTGTGCTGCGTGTGTCCGTGCTGCGTCTGTGTCCATGTGCCATGTGTGTCCGCGCTGTCTGTGTGCTGTGTCCACGTGCTGCATGTCCGTGCTGGGTCCACATGATGCCTGTGTCCATGTGCTGCATGTCCGTGCTGGGTCCACATGATGCCTGTGTCCACGTGCTGCATGTCCGTGCTGGGTCCACATGATGCCTGTGTCCATGTGCTGCATGTCCGTGCTGCCTGCCTGTGCGCTGCGTGTGTCCGTGCTGTGTGTCCGTGCTGCGCGTGTCCGTGCTGCGCGTGTCCGTGCTGCGTGTCCGTGCTGCGTGTCAGTGCGCTGCGCATGTCCGTGCTGTGTGTCCGTGCTGCGTGTGTCCGTGCTGCGTGTGTCCGTGCTGCGTGTCCGTGTGCTGCGTGTCCGTGCTGTGTCTGTGCTGCGTGTGTCCGTGCTGCGTGTCTGTGTGCTGCATGTCCGTGCTGTGTCCGTGCTGCGTGTGTCCATGCTGCCTGTCTGTGCGCTGCGTGTGTCCGTGCTGTGTGTCCGTGCTGCGTGTGTCCGTGTGCTGTGTGTCTGTGCGCTGCGTGTGTCCGTGCTGCGTGTGTCCGTGCTGCATGTGTCCGTGTGCTGCATGTCCGTGATGTGTGTCCGTGCTGCGTGTGTCCGTGCTGCCTGTCTGTGCACTGCGTGTGTCCGTGCTGTGTGTCCGTGTGCTGTGTCTGTGCACTGCGTGTGTCCATGCTGCGTGTGTCCGTGTGCTGCATGTCCGTGATGTGTGTCCGTGCTGCGTGTGTCCGTGCTGCGCGTGTCCGTGCTGCCTGTGTGAACATGCGGATGCTGGTCCCGGGTTCTCTGCCTCCTGGTGCAACTGCAGCCAAGTGTGGGCGCCGGGCGCCACCTTGTGGTCAGCTTGGGAGCGGCGCCCTCCCGGTGCCC